AAAACGGCATTTGTATGTAAACTTGTATTGTAAGATAGGAATAAGGAGAGACCAACCCGGATACGAATATGAACCGGTGTTAGGACTCTGTGAACCGATGGGCGTCACCCGTGTATATAAGGGGACGACCCGGCGGCGGTTCAGGAGGATAGACAACAACTCGAGACTTAGGCGAAGCTTGTTTGCTCCCTAGTCATCGAAACCCCATCAATTCCATCACAACTAGACGTAGGCTTTTACCTTCATCAAAGGGGCCGAACTAGTGTAAACTCTCTTGCGTCCCTGTGTCCGCTTTAACCCCTTCAAGCTAACCCGTTGCGATGGCTCCACGACTAAGTCCTTTCACGAGGACATCTGCCGTGACAAAACCACGACGGATTCCTTTCTTTTACCAAATATCAAGTCATTTCTCAAATGCCATGCTCTCCATAAAATGAAAATAATTTGGTCGCGCATGACATGCCTCAATTGACTTAGGAGAACAATAAACCAATCATACCCTGTATATCTGAAGACATTCTCTGTAGGTAACTCCCAAATGTCCCTCATGGCCATCCACAAAGCAACCGCCTTCGGACACCTAAGAAGCGCATGAAAAGTACTTTCATCCTCCATTCCACAAATAGTGCACATCGTAACAGAAGTTTGGTGATGCAGCACTTTGTTAACCTGGACAGCCAAGCTATTAGTTGCAACCCTCCACGCAAAAATGCGAATCTTCTGAGGGACATTAGCCTTCCAGATGACATCCCAGATTTTCCTCTCCCCCAACACAGCCTCACTACATTGACCCTCATCCTCTTTTTTATCCTTCAATGTAAGCGCAAGCTTGTACGCACTTTTAACCGAGAACATCCCATTTTTTTCAAAATGCTAAGCAACAAAATCACCATCCCCGTTTGATTGCATACGTAACCTCAAAATCTCCTCCACATCATATGGATAAAACAAATGCCTAACCATATTTTCATCCCACCTCCTAGGACTGCTCAGCATCAAGTCTGATACCCATTTGACTCTTGTCCTGTTCTTTCTGGCAGTAATTTTAAGTCCAGAAGATCTTGGGAGCCAGTTATCTCTCCAGATATTAATATTAGTCCCATCACACACTCTCCAAATGACTCCGGATTTAAGCAAATCCAATCCATGCAGAATACCTTGCCAAGTAAGAGAAGCTGACTGCGGGAAAACCGTATCAAGGATATGTCCCTGGGGATAATATTTTGCCTTAATCACTTTAGCGCATAGAGATTCAGGATTAACCACCAACCTCCAAGCCTGCTTTGCTAGCAGAGCCTGGTTAAATAATCTAAGATCCCGGAATCCCATCCCACCCACACCTTTAGGCTTAGTCATCTTATCCCAAGCCAGCCAATGAGTCTTCCTCCTATTCTCCTCGTCACCCCACCAGAAATTCCTTATGATCTGAGACAACTCCTCGCAGAGTGATGCCGGAAATTTAAAAATACCCATTGCGTACATCGGAAGAGCCTGCAGGACAGATTTAATCAAAGTTTCTTTCGCCCCACGCGAGGCATATTTTTCTATCCAGTCCGATAAAATTTTGAGGGCTTTTTCCTTAGTGGATTGAAATTTACCAGCCTTCATTCTCCCTTGTGGCACCGGGAGCCTGAGGTAATGCTTAGAATTACAATAACAGCCACTTGGACCTCCATAGTACAATTCTTGCCGAACAAGATCGAGCATTTATCAGGGCTCAGCAGCTGACCTGTCCCCTTCTCATAAGTCGCAATAATATTTTTGATTGCCAAGGCTTGCTCACTGGGCCCCTTGAAAAATAAAAGACAATCATCGGCAAACAAGAGATGTGAAATACCCGGGGCCTGTCTATTAACCTTGAACTCCAGAAGAGATCCTCTAGTACACGCATTCTGTAACAACAAAGAAAGAGCTTCGGCCACAAATAAGAATAAGTATGGTGAGATAGGGTCCCCTTGCCTGATGCCACATGATGGCGAGAACGACTCCAAGAACTGGCCATTGAAGCGTACTGAAAATTTCACTGAAGTAACACATGCCATAATCCATTTTATCCATCCTGATGCAAACCCCAACGCGCTCAACATACACTTCAAAAAATTCCAATCCACTCTATCATATGCCTTGGCAAGGTCCAATTTATAAGCACAGAATTCACCCCGTCCATCCTTCAGAGTACTTAACGAATGCATACACTCAAACGCAATAAGAGCATTATCAGATATCAATCTCCCAGGGATAAAGGCACTTTGGGTTGGAGAAATCATACCATCAAGATGCGGTCTCAATCTGTTCACAAGACACTTAGATATAACTTTATAAATAACATTACACAGACTGATAGGCCGGAAGTCTTTGATCGCTTGGGGATTTTTCACCTTAGGAATAAGAACAATCACCGTATCATTTACACCCTCCGGCATTATACCTGTATCAAAAAAAATTTTAATCGCACGAATAATATCCTCCTTCAGCACTCCCCAATTCCTTTGAAAAAACCTTGCCGGAAACACAGTGCGTACTAGATATAAAGGTAATGTTGTGACAATATTATAAAGGTAATGGAAACAATTTGTAGAGCTACAAAATTGGTGAACATGTATATTGTGCACTGGTAATTAACGAATCTCCTTCTCAAATCCCAAGCGCATCCTTCGGTGAAGAGTTGGGTTTGTCCTTAAGTTTGAGCAGCTCAATAGAAATATATACCAACATCTACAACGCCAAGTTTCATCATAATTAGTTTTTTCATAGTGTATATCAACATATTTGTTTGTTGAATTGATCAAACTTACAGAAGTTTCACCTTGGACAAACGTAAAATTTCAAATAATTTGGAAGGGGGGGACTACATTTTATTATATTACCTTCTTCCCAAATTACTTGTCTTAAATTTGTCAGATACGGATGTACTACCCTTCTGTAAATTAATATAAGAGCATTTGGATCACTACTTTACATCGAGAGTGTCTAACATTCGTATCTAAACAAATTTAAGACAAGTAATTCGGGATGGAGGGAGTAGTATTTGCGAAGCGAAGATGGAACGGCAACATGCGTCATGCATGCGTCTGGACACAAGAAGTTGAAACATTCTGCTGCAGCCTCCCTCCCCAAGCGACCTGTGATCGTGCAAGTGCAACGGGCATACTTTATGAGCACACGCATGCGTATCTACCACGGCCACTCCCTCCCTGCACCGGGAAGCATCTCATCGATCATTTTCGGGCCGATCAAAGCCCTGAACCCCAGCGTAGTACTACGTGCGAACGCGATCTGCTCCACAGATTCAGAGCTTGGAGCGCACTGCTCCCCTAGCTTATTACTATTATTTCAGTCAAGTGCTCCCAACTCAAGATGATCAAAGACGATGAAATTAGGAATTAATATATTGCTAATTAACTTGTCGCTCAAGCAGATTGGCACATAAATTAAAGGGAACGCAATGCGCGTGCCATGAGAAATCAAAGCAAGCAATGCAACTTGCAATTTTGAATACATATGTGGCCCTGAGGGAGGAGGAAGAACAATCAAGAAATGACCAGGTTGAGTGATTTCGTCATGCCAGTTGACTTGCCAGACAATCAAGGCCTAATTATGAATCTATAGCTAACCATCGAGCGCGTTCAAAGATAAGAGTAAGACCTACGCAGAGAGAGATATTTCGATGTGAACGCCATGATGGGAGCAAGTGGGTGTGTGCGTTGCATGGCTTGTGAAGCAAATCAAGCAACTGGATTGATTCAGCAGGGAAGAAAATCAGACCTCTTTGTAGTACATGTTGATGTCTTGCTGACCCAATCATTAGCAGGTTTTCCTTGCCCGCGAAGGGATTCAGGTACTTAAACTAATCGAGGTCCGGGGATGTTCTAGCTAGCTTATTGTTTTGGAGAATCGATGGGGATGTTGTATGGGGAAACTAATATAGTTTAGAGTCGTACAATACGTGACTGATCACAGACCACTAAATTATTTGCAGTTAAATTCCTCTGAGAGTAGACGACCAAGAAATGAAAACCAACAGAATTAAGCTGCAATTGAAAGAGGTCTCCAATTGAAACTATACATTCGCGCGCAACCAAGTACACGAAAATCCTTATCTTAATACAAAAAAATTTGGCCAATGAAAATACCAAGTGATACACCCCCTTTGTTCCACAATACATAAAATATAATGTTCATTGGTTTTCTAAAAGTTAAGTTTCACAAACTTTGATCAAGTTTATAAAGAAAATTGTTGATATCCACAATATACTAAATATAAAGATCATATGAAAATATATTTCATGATGAATATAATGGTATTGATTTTGTATGAAAATGTATTTCATGATGAACCAAATGGCATGGATTGGGTATTCTAGATGTTGATAGTTTAGAAAGTACAATATGACTTTCAAAATATCTAATATACTATACTATGTTTTTTTATGGCCAATGAAAATACTAAATGACATACAGTACTGGTTTCAGACTTTCAGCTACCACAAATGCAATCGTACGCAAGTCAAACCTGCCTGTGGGTACAGGGCAGAAATGCCGCAGCCGAGCTGACCTAGGCATTGCATCCATGGTTACCCATGCGATTAGTCAACTCTACTGGGAAAAAGAAAGCATATCCCGTGGGGAAAGCCGGCGGTCGCAAGGTACCATGCACATGCACACGCACCAACATCCCTGAATTCCTGCAGAGATCTTGCGCGGCGGCGCGGCGGTTGAATTGCATGCGCTCAAGTTTATACTACTCGTTCTTCATTGCAACCCAGCTAAGCTATGGCTTCCTTCTCGTTAATTTCTCGACCTAGCTTGGCACTTCGGCCACGCTCTGACTTGCAACGCTGGGAATCGCCAACTGCCAGCCCGTGTCAGCCGTGACACCATGAGTTCGCCCGGCCGATCGTCTCAGACGTATATAAACCCTGCGCAGCGCGCAGGGTTCGTCTCGATCACAGGGAGAATTAATTCAGAGATTATTGTTATTCGGCAGCGGAGGACTAGCCATGGCGATCGGAGCGCCGGGGTCGTCGCAGCAGCCGCGCGACACAAGCAACATCCTGGAGAACGTGTGGGCGACCATCATGACCGAGGCGCCGACAGGGTGCACGCCGATGCCCGCGTCGTCGTCGACGGCGTCCACGTCTTTGGTGGATCAGGCCGGCGCGGAGATCCTGCAGCGGCTGCCGAGCCTCGGGAGGTGGATCTCCATGGGCGCCGACGAGTGGGACGAGCTGCTCAGCGTGGCGGACGCTGCCACACCGCCCATCGCTGAGCAGCCGCCGCTCGCAGTGGCCTCGCCTCGAGGAGAAGGGCAGCAGCAGAGTGCCGTGCTCGGCAAGGTAGCGTTGCCCAAGAGCTACAGGGGGGTGCGGCGGCGGCCGTGGGGCAAGTTCGCTGCGGAGATCAGGGACACGCGGAGGCGGGGCGCGCGGGTGTGGCTGGGCACGTTCGCCACGGCGGACGAGGCCGCGCTCGCCTACGACGTGGCGGCGCTGCGCATGCGCGGCCCGCGCGCGCATCTCAACTTCCCGATCGAGAAGGTGCAGCGCCGCCTCGACCTGGAGCGCGACAACGGTCAGTTCCTGGACGCCGGCGACCATTCCACGGGCCGCGCGCGCAGAAAGAGGATGAGGAGGAGCGGTGCTACCGCCACGGATCATGCAAGAACCGTCGACGCTGACCTCACGGCGGTGTATGGAAATGGAAGCTCCGATCAGATGGTGTCATTCGCCAGCTCGAGGAGGGATCACGGGACGCCAACGGTGCAAGATCGGCGCGTCATGAGCGCTGATGTCGGGGGAGCTGTGAATCGAGTGATCGAGGTTGAGGAGATTGGCAGCGAGTATTGGGACTATCTGTTCCCGCCTCTGGTATAGGGATCGTTATATGATGGTGGTGATGATCAAGTAGTTTTATTTTTGCGGGGAGTGATGATCAAGTAGTTAATTAGGTGTGGTTATGATAATTTGGGTATGGATGATAGGAGAAGAGCAAGTTAGTTACAGTGATCTCCTGCTGATTTAATTGCAGTTTCAGTAACTTGTATGCACTAAAGATACGATTGATTGTAAAGTGTACTTGATTAGCAGATTAGCATATGTTTATGCAATCAGTTTAGCTTTATGTCAGTCGCCTGAAAATGGCAGTCGATTTTTGGTGGGAAGGAAACAGGAGGTACGCGGAGCACCGAGGTCGGTTCACCAGAACAGGGGAACGATGATGCGTAGTCAGGATAGAAACAGTTTGGGCTATCCCCAACGAACCATCTAGACCATGGGCGGGGGCTATATCGACATAAACGCCGATAACCCAGGGAACATAACATGGTTCAGAGCATCATCATCCTGGGAAGCCCACATGTCGGATCTCCAGTATGATGTTAAGATCACGAAACATATCTAGGTTTACTAAACCCCTATCTCTGAGGCAGTTACAAGCATTTAGGCACAATCTCAACTTAGACAGTTGTGATTGAGGGGGAGTGTTAAACAATGTATATGTTTAGATATGTATAGGAGATGTGTGCGTGTGTTTGAGCTGTTGTAATCTTGTTAGGCTGAAGAGATAAACCCTAGGTCATTAGTTGACTTGGAGATCAATCCTTCTCCTAACTAACTTGTAATTCTCCTGGCTATTGTGCCCATATAACACGCATGCGTCCCTGCATAACGCATACGCTTAAGCCTCGCTATTTTCACATGGTATACAGAGCAAGGTCCTTCCAATACATCTAGGTTATGTCGTCTTCCTCCTCCTCTGTCGCCATGGCCGCACCCTCCATCGCCACGCTCTGCCATACCATCTCAAAGAAGTTAACTCGTGAGAACTTCCTGGTTTGGAAAGCCCAAATCATACCGCACATCAAGGCCGCTGGGATGATGGGCTACCTTGATGGAACGATCAAGGAGCCTATCGCCGTCCTCATCTCCGAGAAGGAGGTCGCCGAGAAGAAGGAGATTACCTCCACGCCAAACCCGGAGCACGCCATCTGGGTTACCCAGGACCAACAGGTGCTCACATTCCTGATCGCATCTCTTTCTCGTGAGGTTTTGATGCAAGTCTCGACCTACACTACTGCTGCTAGCCTCTAGGAAGCGCTGGTCCAGAGTTTTTCATCGCAGTCCAGGGCGCGCAAGATTCAGCTCCGCTCGGTGATCGGGAATGCACACAAGGGCGATCTCTCTGCTGCCGCCTACTTCACCAAGATGAAGGGGCTGGCGGATGAGCTCACTGCCGTTGGGAAGCCACTCGAGGAGGATGACATCGTCTCGCATATCCTCGAAGGTCTTCTGCACGAGCCTGAGTACAGCGGGTTCGTCTCTGCCCTCTCCACCCGCGCCTTCACCGATCAGCAGATCGGACTCAGCGAGTTGTTCTCGCTTTTGCTTGCGGCTGAGGCCCGCATCACTGCCCAGAACGCGGCCTACTCTGCCCAGCACTCCGCCAACCTTGCTGCAAAGGGCAGGGGTCGCGGTGGCTACGACCGTCCTGGTAGCAGCCACGACGGTGGCAATGAAGGAAATATGCCCTAGAGGCAATAATAAAGCTATTATTTATTTCCTTATCTCATGATAAATGTTTATTATTCATGCTAGAATTGTATTAACCGGAAACATAATACATGTGTGAATACATAGACAAACATAGTGTCACTAGTATGCCTCTACTTGACTAGCTCGTTGATCGAAGATGGTTATGTTTCCTAACTATAGACATGAGTTGTCATTTGATTAACGGGATCACATCATTAGGAGAATGATGTGATTGACTTGACCCATTTTGTTAGCTTAGCACTTGATCGTTTAGTTTGTTGCTATTGCTTTCTTCATGACTTATACATGTTTCTATGACTATGAGATTATGCAACTTCCGTTTACCGGAGGAACACTTTGTGTGCCACCAAACGTCACAACGTAACTGGGTGATTATAAAGGTGCTCTACAGGTATCTCCGAAGGTACTTGTTGGGTTGGCGTATTTCGAGATTAGGATTTGTCACTCCGATTGTCGGAGAGGTATCTCTGGGCCCTCTCGGTAATGCACATCACTTAAGCCTTGCAAGCATTGCAACTAATGAGTTAGTTGCAGGATGATGTATTACGGAATGAGTAAAGAGACTTGCCGGTAACGAGATTGAACTAGGCATTGAGATACCGACGATCGAATCTCGGGCAAGTAACATACCGATGACAAAGGGAACAACGTATGTTGTTATGCGGTCTGACCGATAAAGATCTTCGTAGAATATGTGGGAGCCAATATGAGCATCCAGGTTCCGCTATTGGTTATTGACCGGAGACGTGTCTCGGTCATGTCTACATTGTTCTCGAACCCGTAGGGTCCGCACGCTTAACGTTACGATGACAGTTTCATTATGAGTTTATATATTTTGATGTACCGAAGGTTGTTCGGAGTCCCGGATATGATCACGGACATGATGAGGAGTCTCGAAATGGTCGAGACATAAAGATCGATATATTGGACGGCTATATTCGGACACCGGAAGTGTTTCAGGTGATTTCGGAGAAAACCGGAGTGCCGGAAGGGTTACCGGAACCCCCCGGGGAAGTATTGGGCCTTAGTGGGCCTGAGGGGAGAGAGAGGGCAACAGCCCAGGAGGTGGCACGCCCCCTCCCATGGAGAGTCCGAATTGGACTAGGGGAGGGGGGCGCGGTCCCTCTTTCCCTCTCCCTCTCCCTCTCTTTCCTTCCCCCTTCCCTCTTCCTAGTTGGACTAGGAAAGGGGAGTCCAACTCCTACTAGGAGGAGGACTCCCCCCTCCTTGGCGCGCCTCAAGGGCCGGCCGGTCTCCTCCCCTTGCTCCTTTATATACAGGGGCAGGGGGCACCTCTAGACACACAAGTTGATCTTTGTGATCGTTCTCTTAGCCGTGTGCGGTGCCCCCTCCACCATAATCCTCGATAATATTGTAGCGGTGCTTAGGCGAAGCCCTGCGACGGTAGAACATCAAGATCGTCACCACTCCGTCATGCTGAAGGAACTCTTCCCCGACACTTTGCTGGATCAAGGTCCGGGGATCGTCATCGAGCTGAACGTGTGCTAGAACTCGGAGGTGCCGTAGTTTCGGTGCTTGATCGGTCGGGCCGTGAAGACGTATGACTACATCAACCGCGTTGTGCTAACACTTCCACTTCCGGCCTACAAGGATACGTAGACAACACTCTCCCCTCTCGTTGCTATGCATCACCATGATCTTGCGTGTGCGTAGGATTTTTTTTGAAATTACTACGTTCCCCAACAGTGGCATCCGAGCCTGGTTTTATGCGTTGATGTTGTGCACGAGTAGAACACAAGTGAGTTGTGGGTGATATAAGTCATACTGCTTACCAGCATGTCATACTTTGGTTCAGCGGTATTGTTGGATGAAGCGGCCTGGACCGACATTACGCGTACGCTTACGCGAGACTGGTTCTACCGACGTGCTTTGCACACAGGTGGCTGGCGGGTGTCAGTTTCTCCAACTTTAGTTGAACCGAGTGTGGCTATGCCTGGTCCTTGCGAAGGTTAAAACAGCACCAACTTGACAAACTATCGTTGTGGTTTTGATGCGTAGGTAAGAACGGTTCTTGCTAAGCCCGTAGCAGCCACGTAAAATTTGCAACAACAAAGTAGAGGATGTCTAACTTGTTTTTGCAGGGCATGTTGTGATGTGATATGGTCAAGACATGATGCTAAATTTTATTGTATGAGATGATCATGTTTTGTAACCGAGTTATCGGCAACTGGCATGAGCCATATGGTTGTCGCTTTATTGTATGCAATGCAATTGCGCTGTAATGCTTTACTTTATCACTAAGCGGTAGCGATAGTCGTGGAAGCATAAGATTCGCGAGATAACAACGATGCTACGATGGAGATCAAGGTGTCACGCCGGTGACGATGGTGATCATGACGGTAATTCGGAGATGGAGACACAAGTACAAGATGATGATGGCCATATCATATCACTTATATTGATTGCATGTGATGTTTATCTTTTATGCATCTTATCTTGCTTTGATTGACGGTAGCATTATAAGATGACCCCTCACTAAAATTATCAAAGTATAAGTGTTCTCCCTGAGTATGCACCATTGCAAAAAGTTCTTCGTGCTGAGACACCACGTGATGATTGGGTGTGATAGGCTCTACGTTCAAATACAACGGGTGCAAAACAGTTGCACACGCGGAATACTCAGGTTAAACTTGACGAGCCTAGCATATAACAGATATGGCCTCGGAACACGGAGACCAAAAGGTCGAGCGTGAATCATATAGTAGATATGATCAACATAGTGATGTTCACCATTGAAACTAGTCCATCTCACATGATGATCGGACATGGTTTAGTTGATTTGGATCACGTGATCACTTAGAGGATTAGAGGGATGTCTATCTAAGTGGGAGTTCTTAAGTAATATGATTAATTGAACTTTAATTTATCATGAACTTAGTCCTGGTAGTATTAGCATATCTGTGTTGTAGATCAATAGCTCGCGTTTAGGTCCCCTGTTTTATTTTTGATATGTTCCTAGAGAAAACTAAGTTGAAAGATGTTAGTAGCAATGATGCGGATTGGATCCGTGATCTGAGGTTTATCCTCATTGCTGCACAGAAGAATTATGTCTTTGATGCACCGCTAGGTGACAAACCTATTGCAGGAGCAGATGCAGATGTTATGAACATTTGTTTAGCTCAATATGATGACTACTTGATAGTTTAGTGCACCATGCTTAAACGGCTTAGAATCGGGACTTCAAAGACGTTTTGAACGTCATGGACCATATGAGATGTTCCAGGAGTTGAAGTTAATATTTCAAGCAAATACCCGAGTTGAGAGATATGAAGTCTCCAACAAGTTCTATAGCTAAAAGATGG